TCAATATTTAAGTTTAAAATTTGACAATTATATTCATTAAAATATTGTTAAATCGATTCTGGACAAAGGTTACAAAATATTTATTACTTAGGACATTATTAATAAAAATATGACGACATTGCATAATGACTCAATGAAAAATATGAGTGGTAATGTGGCCTTCTATAAAAATAGCCTTAAAAAATTAATTTTGTTTAAAAAACAATATTTGGTCACAAAATTAATAAAAAAGTAAAACATTTTACAATGTATGCAAATAAATGTATATACATTCACATAACTTCTGCATATAAGATGCTCAGTACTAAATATAGCACATATAATATAAACTATAGATTAACAGTAGAGCTACAATCGATCATTAAATAATTATTTTGATATGAAAACCTCAAAAAAGAGGCCGTGATGAATAATCAATATTCATAGAGGGCCACATTAGCAAAATACCATGCTATTGTTTAAATTTGCATAACTCAAAATATATACAGTCAAATAAAATGTTAAATAGCAAACAACACACTTAAAAATATATATATTCATGTGCTAATACGCTCAAGTTTAAGAAAAATGAGGAAGTAGATGTAATTAAATATACCTCAGAAAGGTTTCGAAATACTTGAAAGTAAAAATGCGTTGTAATAAGTATTGGCTTGAATATTGATATATTAGCGTCATATAACGGCGAGTTATTGAACAATAATTTCATAAGTAATTAGGATTTGCTATATAATAGCAGAGATATTAAGGGAGGCAATATATATACTGGCCATAATGCGACTTTCTCCTCTATAAATACCAGAGCCAAAATAATATGAAAATTTACCGTTCTGCGGGTACATATTTCGCCATAAGCCTTTTTTCGTGCTAATATTTGGTATCCGGAAGGTATATTCCAGGTCTCCAGATTCCTCACTCCACCACAGTTTCAATGAAGAATGTTCAAACGGTCTCAACTTCACAATCGGACAAAGGTCATTGCTGACAATGATATTGGTCTTCACTGGCTTTGTGGGGTCCACCTTGTGTTGCAGTACTTCTACGACGTACCATTTGTCCATTATCTGTAACGAAATGTTTTCGTAAAATCTACCTGAAAAATCGCATGATTGAATGGAACATATACCTACTAAGCGCTAAGTGGATAAAAATCGATATCTTTCCACAAACATGATTTCCACTTGAGCCTCAATTCCCAGGATATTTGAGATATTAAAAAAAAGAGAAAAAAAGATAAGATTCTAGCTCGGGGAAAAATTGGTTCTAGATCGGTTAAAGAGCTTACAAAGACGGAAGAAAGTGCAAAGACACCGAGTATGTGCGCGGGGGAGTAATCTAGTAACTTTGGCGAAAGTAGATATAGATAATACCGTGAGAAGCTTAAAGCAAATTACGGACAATTTATTGGCCGCGCGATCGTTAGTGATTAAGTCCATGGAAATAATATCGTCGGGAGTCGAATAACCGTCGGATTCCGATCGGCATAATGCGCGCGGGATTTCTTTTTTTTTTTTTTAGCTCGATCATTTCGATTTTATATCTCCGTAAAATCTTTTATAACTTTAATCGGATTGTGCCGGATAATGCTGAATCTCATTCAGAAGTAGTCTATATATTTTCGTCGGACTTATCTTTTATTATCCGGAGTGTTGATCGATCTCGCAATGTTGCGACCTCTTGCTTCGCGGGTCTTATGATAAACAACAGCAGCGAATCTTAAATAGAACATTATATAATAGTTGCGAACGTTGCCCGCCAAGGGAATAAGATGTTCGTCAATCTTACTCGTGACTCTCCTTAGTGACGTTGACCGATGTTTTAGAGAAGTAGAGAGGCCAGAAGTTAAGCGTATAAAGAATTAGTCTCAACAAAATGTTGAAAAAATCAGACGCCTATTCATCTCCGTTGCAGTAATAATAGCGTCGAACAGCGCAGACTACAAAATCGGTCCCAGAGTATCTCATAAAAGCTAATCTTGACAATTCTTCTCGTGTAACGCGGTGATTTTGTGAAAAAAAAACTCGATCTTCAGAAAGCAAGCAAAGGCCAAGTCTCACTGGAATGTAATAAATGCAGCTTTTACTTGTTACGTTATCTAAGGGGAAAACTTGCTTTAACTGTCGGTTTAATTTATGCGCAAAGTCGCATATTACGTGCAAACATAGGTAATTGTTTATTCAATTCGCTCGTATATTAAACATGATGCTAATGTACCCACTGAAAGCGCTTAGGTCCGAAGTTGATGTACAGCGGTGATGCAGATTATCAACTTGTTGAGCTCAGATCGTACGATACTCGGTTTTGCCCGCGGGAACCAGCTAAGGAGAGTTCGTTGAACAATGACTATAATAATCTTTGCGGAGGTCCGAGGTCCATAAAGGCTTCTCTGCTTTGTCTTTGCGATACCAGGGAATTTCAGTCTAGCGTAAACGTGTTTTGTTGTTTCAAGATTAATCAAGAATATTCATAGTAAATGCTATGCGCGAAATGCGCCATTTTTATTAACTTTGCTTGTTAGTCTTTTGTCATTTTTCTTCTTAAATCTTTATAGAGGGAGAAAGAGAATTTGTTGAAATTTCTTTATGCTCAATTAGTTATTTGAAAAATGCAGACATTCGACATTTCTTATCACATTCTTTTCACAGATCGAAAAATCTTCAGCGAAAATGACATCCGGTAATTTTGAAGCACTCTGTACGGACGAATGAAATGGCCAAAATAAAAGTAGACGCGGTTTTCGTTTTTGCTGAGTAGATACGCGCATATTGCGCGCATGTATGTGTGTACGTGCGTACACATTTCTGCTTTATTGTACCGGAAAAGCGCCGTAAATCATTGTCGCCGAGGTGTACGTGATACTGGGTCACACAGCGTGGTCGGGGGATTAAAATTAACGAGATAATAAATATGGCCTTTGTCGAATAACCCGCAAAAAATTTCAATTGTCGTTTCGTGGGAATCTCGTCGCATGAACAATCGCGGTCGTTTGTTTGAAACTGTGTTATTTTTCCTTTCCTTTTTTTTTTTTTTTTAACAAATGTCGCGACTATTTGCAAACGATGTTATTATTAAACGGAAACCAGAAACTGTAATGACATAAAATTTACATATAAACTTAGTTCTCTTCTTCTGAATTAGGAAAATTAGTAAATTAAATTATAGAAAGAGATGAATAATAATTAAAAAATTGAAAATTCTTATGAATTCTCATAATTTCTGTAGTGTTATACATTAGGAATAAAAATATAGCGTCTTTTTTTTAACAGCAACCAATTATTTTGTTTGTACAATAAAAAATTTAGTTACTTCTGCTCGATATGCTTCAGCTTTTTAAATAACAAAAATATTTGTTTATGCCAATTAAATAGTTTAATTTATAAGCAAACAAAGTAATAAAATAGGTTAGTCTGCGGTTAAATATTTTGTATTTTAATCAAATATTTTGTTATTAGTAAAATATTTTTCCTGGTATAACAGTAGGTTACGCTGTTTTGTTCTGTGAAATTTAAAATAAATCGAACCAAAATATGTATTTATACTAAATTGCTTAATTGGAATACAGAAATATTTTTGTTATTTAAAAAGTTACAAAGTATATTGATCAGAAACAATCACATTTTTTTTATAACTTGAATATTTGGTTTATAAAGATTATGCGTTTTGCGGGTTTTCTCCGTGTCCAGATCCATTTCTGGAATGTCAACATTTCGTGAACCTTACAGTCCACTTCATCAGGGCGAGAAGCAGCCTGATACAGTATCAGGCTGCTCTTCGCCCTGATCAAGTGGACTGCAAGGTTCACGAAACGTTGGCATTCCAAGAATGGATCTCTAAACACGGAGGAAACCCGCAAACCGCATAATCTTTATATAGAAAGCACCCGCGGAAGCCTCAAGAATATTAACTATTTGATTGTTGTTGCTTAGTTGTTAAAAAATGCCTCAACTAAATAGTTTTGTTAAAGGAATTAAATTTTTTTTCTAAATGTATGTGACTTCATCAAATTTTTTAAATATGCTCAGCATGATATTTTAGTATAGTATATAAGAGACAACAACAATAAGAAAAGATAATAGAGATAATTTTAATTTTGCACAAGGATCTTTACGAAGTTTTCTTTACTTTAAAAAAATGCTGACTACGTTATTAAAGTTTGTATAAGCTTGTCTTGTTGGTCTTTATGTCGCTTCTTATTCGTCTTAAGAAACCCCGATATGCACCCGATAATAAACTTTGCCAAGTTGCTTTATTATTCAGTCTTGTAAATAAGACATATAATGCCGAGATAGCCGTATGTTGAAATTAAGGAAAGTTTAATCAGTATCTATCAACTTCAAAAAGATGAGACCGTAGAGCGCTCACGATAGATAGCCCGCATCGTCATCGCGTTGGTCTTTATATCGCTGACAATGGTTGAATAAACACAAGCCTTCATTCAAGTTACGAAAGTAGTTGGAAAAGTTTAATTGGTATTTGGCAGCCAATGGGGCCATTATATCACGTGTAACGCGATTACATTACACGTTCCCTTGGACACTTTCGATTAGGCACTAAACTACGATAAAAGACACTTATAAATTTTGATTCAGCTTGGATGTCGCGTAATATAACACAAGATTTTAAGAGAATCGTGTGTGAAATATTATTAATTAAAAATATAAGAACGCGTAAAATGTAATAAATACCTGTGCGAATAAAAAAGTTTAAGAAATTATAGACTTCTATTAAATATATGTATAATATGTATATCAGAAAAAATTCATCATCTCTTCTAATTAATTGAATAATTAATTTGATAATCTATATTAATTTGTTTTTTTTTTATGAGCCTTTTCTGGTAATATACATACCTCGTCTTTCATTGTTTGCTAGATTCATTTTGTTAATTATTAGATTTTCAACATAATTTCTATTAATTTATGAAAATTTTGCAGGTTTTGCGGTCATAAAATATATTCGGTAATGAAAAATTATATTATTTGTTGGATATATTCACCGTGGCATTTCGGACGACGCGAATGTAATAAATGTATTTTTTGCGAATTGAAAGTACATCACCGACGTGAAATGGTATAACAATCGCGCAGGGCTTTAAAAGCCCAGTGTTCCGAATAATCTTATATCCCTTTAGTAGATTTAACGTTCATTTATTTTAACCAGCAGTTTTTCACGTGGGAAGATTCGCCGCATAAAATCGGATAAAAACCACCGCCAGGCCACAACGATTTTAAGCTCGACGCATTGCCAAACTAAATCCGCGCTACTTGCGCAAAAGTCTATTTAAAGACACCTACAAAAAGGATTTTATCCTCCTCTTTTTTTTTTATACAAAAATATAGTACAATCTATGTTATAACTAATTTACAATAGTAATCAATACATTTAATTTTTTTTATTTTAAGAACTAATTTTCTTTTGAGGCATTTTAAGCCTCGTTCTGTCCATTTAATATCCATAATTAAGACTATTATAACTAATTCACAATGGCAATCAATACATTTAATGTTTTTTTTATTTTAAGAGCTAACTCATTTTACGTGTGCATTTGAAGTCTCGTTCTTCCTACTTAATATCAATAATTAAGACTATTATAACTAAATCACAATGGCAATCAATACATTTAACGTTTTTTCTATTTTAACACCTAACTCATTTTACGTTTGCATTTGAAGTCTCGTTCTTCCTATTTAGTACCCATAATTAAGACTAACGATTAATACGAGACGCGTTGAGTACTCAGTGCAATAATTCTTGGTGTCCAAGAGATTACCGATGAATTCAGCTGGCCCTGCACAAATTATAATTACAAACCGAATAATATACATGCGTTTTGTCTGGACACTGCGACACGACGCTGGATAAAATTGCCGGCAAATAAACCGGCGCGTCGCGCGAGGATAAATTTTCGTTTATTAGACACTACCGGACACCCGGCACGGACGCGTTTCGTGACTTATGCATTCGCTATCGTAACGAGAACGTCAGCGTTTTCACGAGAATATTGCAGTAATTAGTAGCAAGGTAAATTACCGTGCGCGCACGCTAATAGCGGGTAATTTCCGAA